CTCTGCTACACTGCTGAACACAGTGCAAGACCTGTCAGAAGTGATCAGGCAACTCAAACCTCAGCCACACAACCCCTTAGGGTGATTTACAACTTTTTCAGCCATCAGCTGGGCCAGGATCACCTCCTCATTCTGCTCTTGGCTCCCACCAGTGTTCCTGTAAAGCACTTTCCCTTCAGAACCCACTGCCTGTGTAGGTACACACAGGGTGAGCTGCCACGTTATTTGTTATTATATGTAATAATTTCAATTTAATGACAAATTTGGCTGAGTTGGTTCAGTGGATGAGCCAATTTAATGGTTCACTGCTGCCAAAACAGGGGGCTGCCTCCCTGCTCTGGGCTGGGGGGCCAGTTCTGCCACATGCCTGGCACTGCTGCTGGAAAACCACCGGGAAAGCCTCAGCTGATGTGCTGTGACTCACTGAACAAGGTGACTCAATCAGGGGACCGAGCTTTTACTCTTGAACACTTGGGTCCACTATGCCAATTCAGGCACTTCTGCAGTGCCTGAACTGTGTTCAGAGGGAAGGGGGTTGCTGGTTTCACTGCATTTCTCTAAAGAGGCAAAAATTGCCTTGTGGCAAGCTCTTGTGAAAGTCAGCGGAATTCAGGCTCTTTGGGCACTTTGGAAAAGCACTGCCCGGCATGCTGATTCCCACAGTCCCCTACTGCCACATCTTGGCAAATGCTACACTGCAGTTCCACATCATCAGTACAAAAATGTACAGCATATTGAAAAGTGAAAATGTGGCAGAGTGTAAAATAAACAGAATTTGGTATTTAAAAAAAAAAAACACCTAACAGTTGGGAAACTGGGCTGGACAGTTTTCTCCATTTCCATATCCCATAATTCAGACTCGTTATACATTTCCCCTTTTGCTGCAAATTTTAATAAAGTGGCTGATGAATTTCCAGCCTGTCACATGAGGCACCGCAGAATTCAGAAATCTTGACCCCAGCTGGTGGCAAAATAGGTAGATGAGAAGGAAAGCATTAGAAGAAGCAGGAAAATGGAGAACTCTAAGCTAATCAGTTCTTTTAAAAAGAGGGTGACTACTATTCAAGTTGTAATTTATTGAGATAAAGGAACCATGAGTCACAGAAAGACTTAGGTTGCCCGCAGGGGAATGTTATTCTTTTTTTTTTTCCCTCTTATTTTTTTTTTTTACGAAGACCCTTGTGTGTGCATTTGCAGCTTATAGCTAAGAGGTTGGAGCTAGAAGCTAATCAGCCATTCTGTCTCCTATCTGCTGATCTGCTGGCGTTGGGGGAAGGGGAATGTGGGCAAACAGGCATTAAATTCCACTGGCAGGCGACGGGAAGGTATTCCTTGATAAGCAGCATCCGAGATGATGAGCCGTAAAGCAAAGCCCCTGTGAGGAAGCAGGGGAAGTGGCAGGGAAAGCTTTAGCCATCTGTCTCAACCCAGCCTTGCTCAATGCTTGCCAGAGCAGAGGTCACCACCAACAATAATAACCCTCAAGAAGCCAGACGTATGCTTTCCATTCACCAATAATCTACAAAGCGTCTTAGGGTGAAATCCTGGCTCCTCTGAAGTCAATGGGAGCTTTGCCAAGGACTTCAGTGGAGCCAGGTTTTCATCCCTGATAATTTTAAAGCAACCCCCAGGCTTAAAGATGAAACGACGGCATCCTGGGAGTGGGCGCAGGCTGAGGAGGGCAGATGGGGCTCTACCAGCAATGCTGCTCTGAAAAGCTGTCAGATCTTACAGACAGGATGCCTCCACAATCCTGGAGCAATGCCAGGATGGACAGGAAAGGGGTAAAGTGGACAAGCAGGTAAGCACTTTTTAACTGCTGGGAAAGCTGGGGCATAGGACCCAAGTGATACTCTGACATAAAACCCAGTGGTGCTCCCACCTCTGTGTCCTCCTCACTTCTGAGATAAAGCATATAAAGTGAGTTATGTTGTTTTATATTATATCATACTGATTTTTTTTTTTCTCTCTCCACTCCTTATCCAGCTATTCTCATGCTGGCCTGGAAGGTTGTCACCTGGTGGCACTCATCCAAAGTGAGGATTTTTCACACTTGACCAGGTACAATCGATCTACTGTTCATTTCAGTCACTAGGACCACCCAGCCTCTGTAATGTGCTGTGTCTCAGTTAGGCAATATTCTGTTTTTTCAGGACTCCTAGCACCAAGTGTAGGTGCCTGCACCAGTGATGCAGAGGGGTTGGCCCTGGGCAGCGTGGTGGAGAGCACATGGGGTGTTCAGACACGATGGCCATGGCAGGAGACAGGAACACCACCAGCAGGACATCACAAATTCAGCCCTGGACACTGGAACACTGGCCTGGAACACTGAAGGTGGCACAGTGGCTGTGGACAACTGCTGGGCATTTTTGTTAACAGGCTGGTGTAGGGGAGACTACGGGGACTTTCATCTGGCAGTGTCATGACTGGAGCCAACAGACCCCTGAAACATCTCCCTGTGAGACAATCCTCCCCACATAGTGGAGGCTGCAACATGGACAGCCACAACCCCCTCTGGAAGCTGTGCAATGAGAACTTGGGAAGCTTGGGGAGAGGCAGGACACCAGGTGAGCTACCACAGCTTACTGACTCCTCTCACATCAGCTGAGCTACACTGCCTGACCATGTACCACACTCATCGTGTCACAAGTGCTGCATAAAGGTGTGCGACTAACTCTGTTTTGAAGAGCTTGGGCTCTTCCCGGTGTGTTTCCCCTGGCACTGGTGAGGAACTGTGAGTGCACAGGAGCTGAGTCTGCCTTTATCACCAAAGGGAAGTGGAAGGTAAAAGATGGAGGTGGAGGAGTGAGGTGCGAGCTGTGTACCTTCACAGGGAAGGAGCTATCAAAGGAACACACCTCTCTTACTCCGGCACCACTGTCAGACCCACCTCCCTGCTGAGTGCCCGGAACCATATCCCAGGAGCAGCATCCCACTACTGATGGATTTCCTTTCCCGGATGAACCCTGACTTCATTTTCCAGGGACTAGATGGTGGCTGCTGGAGCAAGTGTTCACCCAGCCAGGAAAAGAGATCTTCCCCCTTTGCCTTTAAACCCATTTCCCTCCAGGCTGCGATTCAGCCTTCTGGATTCACCGATGAAATCATCTGCTGATTTAACAGTGTTTGTGAATTTAAATGGGCATCTCTGGTGCACGTGTGTGCACACTGTGCAGTCACCCCCATCAGTGTGCACACTGCCCAGTCACCCCCAGCACAGCCACACAGGCATTATCCCAAGCCCCACTTTCACACCAACTTCTTCCAGCGGGAAGAGGCTTCAGTTTCTCGGTGCCAGTGGCTGCATCGCTCTGCCCCTCTCTGGCTTTGCACAACAGCTTAATGCACGAATGTGCCACGAGGAAATGCGCACCAGCTCGGGCCCATCTCATCTGGATTAAAGATGTCTCTTGGTTCAGTTTCATAAGGCGAGGGAGAACTTGCGTTACCCAGAGCTCGGCAGCAGATCCATGTGTGTGTTTTCCACCAGGCTGTCACTCGGACTGTTTCGCATTACGAGCCTTCAGTCTCACTCTGGCTGTCGATTTGTACTACTAAGCTCTGAAATACAGATCTCACATGCCAAGTTTCCACTTTCCTTCAGCAGCCGGGATCCACTGACAGCCACTAGGTACAGCCAGGCTTTGGCAAACCTGGGGGACACTTGTGCCTCTTCACTGCCTCCGTAACCACCCCATTTTGTGCTCGCTGCCATGCCTGGCACCAGGATCACAGCAATGGTGGCAGGAGGAGAGCCCAGGCCGCGCGATGACAGCTGAAGCACATCAGTGTTTTTATCTTCTCAGTATTTTGATTAGCCCAAGGAATGTTTGGGTTAAAAAAAAAAAAAAAAAGCACCACATTTTTTAAAAGCCACATGACAGTCCCACAGGCTGTTATGGCTTTATGTAATATGGAATAGGTCTGGATGATTTGCTGCATAACCAAGAGTATCAGTGTGATACTGGGTATTTATCAACGAGTGATTTCATGAGATGGAGGGGTTGTACCTCACTCTGACGTGCTCAGGGCAGCCCCATGGAAGTCCCTACCCCGCACGATCCCCTGAGCTGACTGTTCCTACTGCAGTGCTATCACAGAACATGTTTGTGGATTAAAAATCCTTAAATCTGAAGGTTTGGGGTTTGTGGCTTTTGGTCACATCTTGAACAATACGCCAGTGCAATTATTTTAACCGTATTCCTGCCTGATTCCTGCATATTCACGGACAGTGGTTATCACTGGAAGGGAAAACCATCTGACTGGAAGGGTATGGGACATCATTCCAACTCATTCATGACCACAGCCTTCAGATGCACCAAAACATGCAAGAAACCTCCCACGAGCTCTAACTCTCCTCATGCCCCAAATGTGCCAGCTTTCCAGGTCGGGCACACTGTGGGCTGAGGCTCCCATGATCACCTCAGTCCCAGCTGGCACCGTACGCTGGAAGAACATCTCACCCTCACATTGCAGGAACCCTGCTGAGTACATTGGTCTCAGGCTGAAAATGTTTTGGAATACTTTTTCCCCATTTGAACCTTTTGGTACCAATTCAGCCTCCCAGCTCTGACACGCTCACACGGGCCATGATTGCTTGTATCCTCATTCTTATACATAACCTTCCCAATTGTGAAGAATGACGACAAAGATTCCAAAACTCCCGTCATTTGATAGGTGACTTTATTTATGCTTCAAACTGATTTGAGCTGTATTTGTTCTTGTTACACTGAGTTGTATCTTGAGCACTCAGAAAGAGGTCTAAGTTCCCTCAAACTGGATGCAAAGATACTGACTTACAGCAAGTGATAATCCAAGCCTGACTTTCACGTATTTTCAAATCCACGTTACTTTTAAATTTGGGGGCCTCCCATCTAAGAGAGAATTTTTTCTCCATGGCACTGAGGCAGCCAGCAAGCAAGAGGAAGGGAAATAAGAGTGAGGAATGTCAAACCCCAGTGGCCCGAGTCCTACCAGGGACACACAGACCACTGAAGGGGATGTGTCGCTTCAGTGCAGCTCTGTCCCAGGGGAGCAGTGGTGGCAGTCGGGACACAAGGTGCAGCCGTCTGTGGGACAGGGGTGTGGGTGCAGCAGTGGGGTGTCCTGGCAAAGCAGGGCTTGCAGAGGGGCAGGTCGGCACAGGGAGGAGGGGAGCAGGGTGTAGGGGGGGACACGCTAGGCTGGAGCATGAGCTGCAGAAAGGGAGAAAGGAAAGGGGGGGAGCAAGGGGAGAGGACAGCAGGGGAGGGAGGCAGGGCAGTATAAAAGCATCCGACACATACCTCTCCCGACACAGAGCGAGGGGGCGAGAAAGTGGGTCTGGAAGCAGCAGCAGCAGCAGCAGGAGCCAGGAGGCGCGGCGGCCGCTTGCAAACACGCACGCACGGTGGCAGGAGAGAGTGCGGCGCTGCCCCTGCCAGCCCTAGGGCACTGGAGGGAAGAGAGAGGAGAGATGGAGCCAGGTATCCAGCTCCCCGGGAGGACAGCGGGCAGCTGAAGCTTTTTGCAGCCCCTCGCCCTCCGCGCCCCCATTCCATTTCCCACGGCCGAGCCAGGAGGTAGAGAGGAGGAGGAGGAGGAGGAGGAAGGGGGTCCGGAAGCAGCGATCTGCCCCTCTTTCCCCCAGGGGAGCTGCAGCCGCCCCGTCGAGGTCTGCGAGCGGGCGGGGGTAGCGGTGCCACCCCCGCCGGGGGGACGCGGGACAGTGCGGGCCCGGCGGGGCGGGCAGGGCAGGGCAGGGCGACGCCTCGACGGGCGTCGCGAGGGGAGGGGGGAGCGGCGGGGCGGGCGAGGACACGGCGGCGGGAGGGGGGGAAGAAGCTGGTCCAGGGGCCACCCCCATCCCCGCGCGCGGAGGGAGGCGATAGCCCCGAGCTCTCTCCTCCCCTCGGAGCGTCCCGGCTTCCCCGCCATGTGAGACTCGTCCCCGGCCCCCCCGCTTCGCCCTCCCTCCCTCCTCCCTCTCCCTCGCACACACGCTGCCGGCTCCCCCCGTCCTCGCAGCGTCTCCCCGCCGGCCGCCGAGCCCCGCTGCTCCGCGCCGGCCGCGGCTCCCCGAGGCGGCGGGGGCTCGGCCGCCCGCTCCCTCGCTCCGACGGCCCGCGGTGCCTCTGGGCTCTTGCAGGGCCGCCCGCAGAGACGCCGCCGGCCCGCGGCCCCGCCGCGGGTACCTGCCGCCCGCCGCCGGGCATCGCCGGGACTCTGGCGGCCGCCGCGCCGTCCCGCCCCGACGTGGCTCCGCCGTGGGGCGGCGGCCCCCGCTGCTGCTGCTGCTGCTGCCGCCGCTGCCCCGCGCCCGCCGCCCGCCCCGCCGACGCCGAGAGCGCCGCGGTCCCCGCCGCCCGTCCTGCGGCTCCCGGGGCCGCGGCCGGGGCCGCTCCGGCGGCGGCGGCCCCGGTGGCGGCTGCGGCGGCGGCCGCCGCGGCTCCTCCTCCGCCTCCGCCTCCTCCGCGGCCGCCGCCGCGGGGCCCTAAAGCCGCCCGGCTCAAGAGGATGGTGCGGCTGGCGGCCGAGCTGCTGCTGCTGCTGGGGCTGCTCCTGCTCACCCTGCACATCACCGTGCTGCGCGGCGGCGGGGAGCCCCACGCCCCCACGGGCGCCGGCAACCACAGCCAGCGGCAGGTGAGTGCCGCCCCGCCTCCCCCAACACACACCCGCATCCCCCGGGGCCGTCGGGGGCGGACGGGGCGCGGGGCCGGCCGGGCTGTCGGGAGCCGCCGCCGTGCACCTGCCCCGGCCGCTGCCGCCTCCTCCTCCTCCTGCCCCCTCCTCCTGCCCCCTCCAGCCGCGCTGTCCCGACCCCCAGGGTTCCCCCGCCCCAGGGCTTTCCTGAGTGTCCTCTGCCTTCCTTGCCTTTACACTGTCGAGGGCAAAGCTCCCCGAGCCGCGGTTCGACGCCGCACTAGAGGCGTCGGGTCGGCTCCTACGCGTGTCACCGCTGTGTCGCAGGTGGGTTGCAGGGACGACGACACTTGGGGAGCGCTTCTGGGGCAAGCGAGGGATGGAGGCATATCCCACGCAGGGCACCTCTTTGTGAGGGCACAGCATTCCCCAGAGCGAGAGGGGAACACACAAGTGTATGGTGATGGGAAATACCAGAAGAAATCGTGTGGCTTTCCTTGGAAAGCATCGAGAGACGGGTTGACATTTAGTCCTGAAATAGCTGAGAAACTTAGGGTCACAGGTGCTTGTGACCCAGCCCATTCCAGTCTTCTGATCCCATGCAACCCGACGGTGTATTATGTCCAGCAGAGGTAAAGGACTTTTTTTATTCTGTTTCCTTATTTTCGCAGGTGATACTTTTTTATTCAGTATCACACATTGCCATTCATTTGTAATGGTTGGAGGCAGTGATCAAAGCCATAGAATCATCAACCTCCCCAGGCAAAGCTTGTAAATCTCCCGTCAGCTGCATGGGCCCTGACCAACTTTTTTTACCCTGCATCCAAGTGTTAAAGAAAACTCAACCACCAAGTTGACAGAAAATGTATAATTATTATCACCACAAATTTACGTAAACTGCTCTATCATCCTGAAAAGGATCATGGTCCCAGCAGGGCACATTTCCATAAGGCACAAGGAGAATTAAGGAGAGACCAGGCTGTACTGGTCACTCTGTTTGCACAAAGTGAACCCACCAGCTGCAGGAGGGAACCCAGATCTGCAGACTCAGCATCCCAGTCACAAACTGGAGTCAGTTCTTAACTCAGAATATCTCCTGCTGGACTTGGTGGGAGTCCTGCTTGGGAGTGCTCAGCACTTTGGGTAAGGCCCCACCTGTCTCTCTTTTGAGCCACAGTTTTATCACCAGCTCGACATTCCAAGATTTTTTTCTTTTAATATCTGCAAGAGTTTTGGTCATAATGTTTTATAAATGATGCTTTCTTTCTTCATGGGCACTCAAAATGCCTTTTGACATGATGTTCCTTGGAAAAGTAAATTTGGAGAGGTTTTTTATGAGGTGTTTGCTATCATTAGAATAACCCTGAATTTGCCTTTTCTTGACAGGCTTGTAACATAATGAGGGAAACATCTGGGCAGGTGGGGACTCCGGGTGATGCCATTTCCCCAAGGAGCTCCATTTAGAGCACTGTTGTAAGGTTAGGGTGAACCAAGAGGAAAGTCATCCTCAGATAATTATCCTGGATTATTGTCATTGTAGTCGGTTGTCTCGTGAATATCTCTTAATTATTGACTTCAAGAATTTTTTCTGTCCAGTGATTTTTTTTACAGATTACTTTAATCAACTCTGTGCCTTTAAGCATCATGATAGCTTTAACAGTTCATATTTTCATTGTGTTTTGCCATTTGTAGAATTGAAATTTTTATATACTTCCCAACTGAATTGATTCTGCAGTTATGCATTTGAGAGAGTGTGTCTGCACAAGACATTACGGGGGGAAAGGATATTGATTAGAGCAATCGGTTAAACAGATGGAAGCCTATCAATTTTTTTGCTTTCGTGACTTCCATGGATTCTATTACGAGCTGGAAAATCTTGTAACCTGCTTTAGGAAGTTGCACTCTTGACAGGCAGATACTTCCATTCAGAGCATCATAATATAGATCTTGATGGCAAGTTTGCACTGGGATCTCCTGATTTTGGTGGGATTTGGGGCTGTATCGTGGCACATGCTGAAGTGAAACGCAAAATCCTAGTGCCCTGCACTCCAAGCTAGAGAATCAGTGTGGAAAACAAAACTGCACAACCCCAGACTTGTCGACAAAAGCACTTAGAAATCTCTCAGGTTTTTTCTGTCTTAGTAGGTCTGTGGAGAGAAAAGATCGGAAGAAGCGATTAGGTCACTTCTCATGAAAGAGTAATCTTTGCAGCAACTGTTTATAGATGTCTTTTGACATGGCAAATTTGTATCAAAAGCCCCTCAATTATCAATACATGGTATTTTGGGGGGCTTAGGCAGTCAATTTGCACAAATGAAGTGGTCAGAATTGGGTCGTTTTTACATAAAACAGATTCAGGAGGAATCCTTAGTAATCTTAAAATATTGTTGAAGATTTAAATAGTTTAAAATATAGACCTGTAAGCATTTTGAAGTCTGATTCATTAAGGGAGGAAGAGCTGCTGTTTCTCCCATCCCTTGGTCCTTCAAATGAAGGAAGGATTTTGGAGGATAGGTTTTGATTTCTTTTGGTCTTTCAATCGTGTTGACCCCTGCAATTAATTAAACTGATAGATGAAAGAAATACAGAAAAAAATCCCTTCAATCCTAAAATTAAACAAATTGTTTCTTCCTCACTCTGATTTTTCCTTTTGGTGCCCTTCCCTGCTCTGTGTGTGTCTCCAGAGATCCCAGATGTCTGGGATTGTCTTGTGTCACTGTGTCTTGTTGCAATGGAGCAGTGCTGAGGAGAAAATCCTAATGTACTCCTCTGGTCCTCTTTGGGATGGGTGAGATACAGGCACAGGCTCCCTCAGTTCACTGCTGCAGAAATGGTTGCTGGGCCTGCTGTTAGAATTGGGTTGTGGTAGTGTAAACTAACACAAGATGGGAAATCCAGATTGGAGCTGTAAAATATCTCACAGTCTTGAGTTATGAGAGGGAATCAACCTTGTGTTTCTCAATCAGATTTTATTCCCTTTCTTCCGTCTCTTCCAAAGGAAAAAAAAAAAACAACAAACAACGAAAAAAAAGGAGATTTGGAGAGGGAGGAGATTTTGGGCTTTTTCTGGTGAGATTTCTAGGTCTAATTTAATTAGCATCCAGAATCTGTTGTGGAGTATATTTGTGAATTAAGGAAGTACAAACTTTTGCTTCTGAAGAAGAGCAAGTGAAGTTGTATTAAGAGATGGAAAAGCGCTGCTTTGGTATGTTTTTGTCTTTTTACATAGTTCTAAAATGAAGGGAAGACTTGAACATAAATTTTGGAAGACATTTGTAATACTTTACGATGCTCTAAAATCTGTCCTTTCATTCTGAGAGAAAATATTTCATCGAGAAGTTTATTCCCCTCACTTCTAATTTTTCCATAGCAGGCCTTGCACACCAAGAAAAACAGCGTTCCCACACCAAGAAAAATGACCTTGTAAAATGCAGTAACAGAGCCACCAACAATATATGCCATAGCACATGAAGTCAGACTCTCCACTGCGGTCCTTGCAGCAGTATTACATTAGCCTGAAGCTCGGTAATTGTGCTTAAAACTGGAGCCATGTAAGAGAACATAATTCGAAAAGGAGCACAGTGCTGAAAACAGATTTTTCCCTTTAATCGCCCTTCTCCTGTCCTTGCCCCCCTCCTCAATGAGCATGTTAGCAATTACAGCGTGTCAGAAACGTTCCCTGAGCCCTACCAGGAGAAACACATTCTGCTGCTTACAAATGGTTGCACAGGAGTCGCTCTCCAAGGCTCGTGAGGAGCCCTTTACGGAGCTGAGCTCTTAAATTTTCTCTGAAGGTCCACAGCTCAACGTCATGAGAGGCTCAGCAATGGTGTGTGCTGTCTGCTGCCTTTGTTGGGGTGCACTTCACTCTTTTCAGGACCTGTGCATTCTTGCTGACCCTTGCTCTACACTCAGGCAATTTGCAAAACGATCTCCAGTCGGATACAGTGGCATATTTCAGCTTTCTGGCTTCCTCAGTTAAGTAGGACTCAAGCTGTTTACTTTGGGAGAGTTTTAGACTGAGTTTTTTTAAAGCTTATTTGAGCTCTGGAGCTTTACATTTGGTTAGTTCTAATAGGAACCGATCGTCTAAGTCGTCCTTGAAAAACTGTCGACTCCACGTTCTGCATTCCCGTTTTCCAGACTGGCCTTAGCCTATGTGAGATGCCAATAAGTGGATGTACATCGTGTGTTTAATACGAACACTAAATCCTTTTCTGCCTTAAGAGCAGTTCATATGAATAACTTTCAGAGCAGGTGGCTTGTGAATGAGGCAGACTGATCCTCTGCAACCCAAAATCTCTTTTGGTGAGGTGGTTCCTCATGGCAGAAGATCCTGTTCCATGCTTTTTGGCAGGGACAGTAAAACCTGCCTGGTCTCAGCAGGCTTTGCTGTGCAGGCTCTTAGCTAAAGCTCACCCTTTGGCATATGTTCCTCCAGTTGTGCACTAAGCTTTAGGAATGACTTAGACCATGTGCAGTTCATTCTCTCATCTCCCAGGGGAGAGAATTATGTGTGCTCTTTAGTGGTTTTGCTAGTGGGCTGTGGCTTGTTCCAGGATCGAGGGGGAGGGAAGAGTCATTAGCTTACGTGTGCTGCTGCTGCATGCATGGAAGCAAAGGATAAAACGGGAAACAAGGATGAAGGACTGAGGTTGCTGCACTGAGCAGAGCACCATTTTCTGGCATCCATTGCTCCCAGGAGAGATTCTTTCACCTTTCCAGCTTAGCTCCAGGAAAACTCCAGAAAGTATTAATTAAACTTCATACCTATCACTTTAATTAATTTCCTAGCAAACTAAAGCATCTTTGGTGGAAAAGGGCTACCACACCTTCAGGGTAGGATCTGACGAGCTTTCTAGTATCTTAGACTACTGCAATAATTCAGAACAGGGATCCAGGAATATTGTATTTAGTTATGGCTGCAAGGAGCAATGTTAGGCAGGTACAAAAGGAACTTCCTGCATTAAATTTGACCAAGATGTTTGGATGAGGCATAT